AACCCCTATCAAAGACAAACTCTCACATCAGACTCCAGCAATGTGTATTTATACGTTCACTTGAGGTTGTAAAACAAGTTACGATGGCCTCACAGAATGAGAGCTCTCTAAACACACCTTCAGATATTATCCTAAGTAACTTTCGAAATGAGAATGTAAAATAATCAGTAGCTCAGTATCGGAACATCTAATCAATTCTGGTCATACTACCTCACCAGATAAACCCTTCCCAATAATTTAAATGGTCAATGGTTAATTTCGGAGGGAGCACAAATTAGTAACTTGTACATTGAAGGAACATTAGCAATTCTTCATCCTAAACCTGAATTTAGTGCAAAACTTTATTCTGCCACAGCCACAACATTTAGTTTTTCATACACTGTATATTACAACTAGCTACATTCTTATGTTTTTAATTATTTTTTTGCAGTCACCTTCACGTTTTGGATTTATCCGTCACCACCTTTATACTCCTCACAAGAAATCCTCAAGGTCGAAGGAGAAGAGGATGTTCAAAGAACACATTACACCGAGAAATGGAGACAGAAATGAGAAAAATGAACAAAAATTGGATAGAACTAGAAAGGAAGGCCCAGGACAGAGTGGGTTGGGGAATGCTGGTCGGCGGCCTATGCTTCATTGGGAGTAACAGGCGTAAGTAAGTAAGTTCTTCGTACTCGTCAAATGGACAATTTATCTTCAAAACATTGGGTTTCATTTTATAATATTTTCTTAGATTTCCGGTCGCTACGTAGCACTCTTTTGACACTTGGAATTTCCCATGACTCTATAACATAACGTCCCGTCGATTTTCCAGAAGACTACTTTGCTGTTAATTCGCTAAAGATATGATCGTACGTTCAATGAATGACATCGAAGAGAAGAAAATTTTTCTCATAGAAATTTCTTCACTGACACAATGCGTAAACCATATACTGTTAACTAGGTTTGGGGCATATTAGTTTTAAGTTAAGTTCTAGTAGCTGGCTCATTTAGACAGGTAGTAGACTTTTAATGACAGATGAAGAGGGTGTTAAGCTAAACTTGCATTGAGAAAACAATCTAACTGAACGAAAATGCACACATATTCCAAATTCACTGTAACTTAGGCAGTAATTGGAAATACGTAAGGACTAAATCGGTTATCACGTTCAAAATTTCATGGTAGTAATCACTCGTAAAGTATCACTTTCGTAGCAGAATGTTTTATACTGGGACCATCATGACCCCACATTTACATACATCACATTTAAAAACAGACATCCTATGAGATTAACTCACTAGGAATTAGTTGGAATTGTTTAACCTTACATTTGGCTTGATAGCTGAGGGCTGATTAAACTTCCCTGAATGCAACTAAGTATTAACCGATTAAAAAACTATGCCATTAACGTCAACTTTGACAATAGATATATTTTTATACATTTTTCACACAGAAAACATCAAAACGCTGTCCCAATAATCCTACATATTTTGAAAATAAATTAAGTTTGGAATAACATTTAGATAAGAAAATGATAATTTGAGAAAGAAGATTTAAAAATTGTGACAATAAAAGATGATGAAAATATCTCTCATCAGAATGTAAACCTATGTAACTTTTCTAAATCCTAAATTCTTTGCTAGGTGGGGGGAATAAAATACACAAGGTCTGCAGTTATCGTTCATCATATATACAGATACATTCATACACAAACATGTATATGGATTTCTACTTACAAAAAATAAATATATAAACGGGTGAGATTACGCAATGAATCACGGTTTGTACATCTTGTTTGAAATTCGAATCATGCTACTGAGTAAATAATGATTGACCACACATTATTTTTTTTACTCCCGGTTATCTAACCTCCATGTATAATCTGCCTTTTTCCCCTGTGATATTTTTTTCATCCTTTTTTATTAAACAAGTATCCCCTTTTGTTATCCCACAGCTCTAGTTTACTAAATTTCAGTCGATTGCCAATTTTTAGTTAAGCAAAATATTTTTTCGCCCAACTTCTGTTTTTGATATTTCAATGGGAATATTTATTGATTTTTGAATATGTTTATGTTCTATTTGTTACAGCTTTGTGTTAGAAGTCATTTTAATGTTTCATTTATAAGTCTTCTTATGGATTCTCAAGTAGGGTATTTCTGTACATCACTGATAAATTAGTTTCGTGATTTCAAAGTGATTTCTTTGTGGTTTACAGTTTGTTATCAATTAGTACTTAACTATGAGTGATCAAATGTTTCTATTTCAAATAAATGAATTTTACGAATCGCATTCAAAAGAGACTTTAATAAACTTATCACTACCCTGGTAACCCTTTTTGTGAGTTTTGGTTATTTGGGTTATTTTATTCATTTATTTATTTTAAAATATTTATACTCCTCCCCTATTACATAATTTTTAAACCACATTATTATTCACACATTTCCACCACCTGATCCTCTTAAATTATCTTAACTTTTCAAATTCTATTTAATTATTATCACGTAACCTATCTTATGATTATTCAATTCCATTATTACACCACCCAACCCGAATTAATTCCTTTTGACCTCTGACCTGTTCTAGCATATACATATATATATAGTTATTATTGTAACCCAGTTATTTACACTCATCTATGTCGATTGTTCTCACACTATCTCCATGTCAAAAAATTCTATCACATTTTTGGTTTGTAAGCAGCTGACGAGAAACCCCGAAATAATATGAATTCATACTATTCTGCACCAATATTTGTTCTTGCTTTATTTTAATTCATAAAGGGAACCAATTGCATGAAATTCATGACTTACATTTTCTTAATGAGTTACAATTTTTCCATGTTCTTCTTTCGAATCCTCTAATTATTACTTTATTTTCTGAGTGTGGAAAATAAAATCACTGTTGAATACAAACTTGACTATACATCATGATTAAAGTGTATATTTAAATAATTTTAAACTACTTATAAATAGTTCGAAAATCAAATGGTACTTTTTCATTAAATTATTGTTGTAGCTAAAAGATGGAATTCAGGATAAATCTTTCGTCTTAGATGACTTGCTCAAAACAACCAGTAAATTATACATCAAGACTGATGATTGACTAGTAAGAAGTAAAATTATATTATAATAATAATAATAATAATAATAATAATAATAATAATATTATTATTATTATTATTATTATTATTATTATTATTCAAGCTTATTATAGACTTTTCGTTCACACACATTAGTGTTTTATTTACTGCGATTGTCTGATGATGGTCAACGTGTGGGTTCCCTTAATGATTGTCAATCGAATTATGATGAAGTCACTATGGCAACTAAGAATCCCACAAAGTAGAAACATTCGCGGTTGATGAATAAACATTAATAAGGGAACAAGTTTCAAAGTATGGCCCTTATCAACGTGTCTGCCGAAGAATGTATTAACTAATAGCAAAACTTATTGAACTAGAAGCATTACTCTGTATTTAGAAATCAATTCGTTTGATTATAAATACACGATGAAGATACATACTTGCTTATTGCCCAAAAAATAGTTTGAGTAATTTTTATATCTATCCCATTTTTTGGGATAAATGAAAAATCAGGGACATTCAACTTCAGTTTAAAAACTGTGTCCAAGGGAAAAACTTTTGTGGGCATAATTTTGTCGGTCTTTCTCAGCACTTATTAAATAGTGAACTAGTATTTTGATCAAGGATAGTATTAGATGATTCGCGTTGCATTGGCAATAGAAATGAACAAAATGTATTCCTAAGCCTCATAGTATTACCGAGAAAAACGAATTAGGACTAGTTTAGTTTTGGAATTATTTAAAATAGGAAAATGGAGAAACGGAGACAAATGAATATTTTCAGCATGTGATATGAAATTTACCTTGATGGAAGTAAATTCTATGCTTAAAGTTGCAAGTTTCCCATTGATCATCTCCAGTGAAAATTCACTTAAAAATGTGAATAATTACAGCTAGGTGTATGGTAACAAAGAGTAATCTTTTTATAAATTAGGTCATATAAATCTAGAGGAAAAAAGTTGATTTACTACACTTTTATTAATTGGTACAACACAGACAAATGAATGATCAAACTTTTAAGTTTATATATTTCCTCTTGTTTTGAAGCGATCACAAGTTTCTTTTAGTTTAACAACTTCGGTGTGAATCTTTTCACGTTCCAAATTAAGCTAGTGAAGAAAATAAGTATAACTTAAGGATAACATAAAATCATTTTTATATCTGGAATACGTGGAAGAGAAAACAGAGAAACTGAAAGAAGTTAATATTTCCAGCAAACTCATATTTAATTGTGTACGCTGTTTGTTCTCATTGGGTCAGCTTAAGATTTCTAAATTTTACTGTAGTCATGCACAACTTTTAAACAATTCTAAAAGTTGTTATCGCATCACCTGACGATTGCTCTCAAAAAATAAGAAAAGGTGTGTTTTGGTCTTCTTAAGACGGTATTAGCTCCCAAAAAATATACATGGACAATAATATCCAGATTATTAATAAGACTA